AGTGCTTTATATATATATAAACTTTAACTGTTGTCACAAGCGCACATGTATACTATACATACACACATATATATAGTGCTTTATATATATAAACTTTTATATAGATAAACACATACAAGTTATATATATAAATCTATATGTACATAAATAAGTATATGTGTGTATATATTCCTAAACATATGAATACAATCTGCTTGGTTCATATGGTTATATATGTGTGTGTGTGTGTTTGGGAGACGACCGTTTGGCTTGGTTAACCAATTTGGAGGCTCTTCCTCGAGTAAAACTAATTTTCCTGCTCTCACCACACCTTAGTAGTTAGCCTGTAGTTCTCAGTCTAGGATTGAGGCTCCATGACAGTGGTTCTCAGCCTTCCTGATGCTGTGATCCTTTAATACAGTTCCTCAGGGTATGGTGACCCCGCAACCATAAAATTACTTTCATTGCTACTTCAGAACTGTAATTCTGCTACTGTCATGGATCATAATGTAAATATCTGATGTGCAGGATATCTGATATGCAATTCCTATGACCCAAAGGACTCATGACCCACAAGTTGAGAACCACTGCCCCAGGAGCCACTACGTTCCTTGTTATCAAGTCCAGTGATGCCATCCCTGCTCAGGTCATGTTTAGGCGGCCATGTTGCTAAGACGTCACTGGCGTAGCTTCTCTGACTCTTCTAGGAGGCACAGCCAACTTTCCGCTTCCCTGGCTCTTACAGTTTTACCTGTTGGGTTGGAGCACGCTGTGACGTGTTCTGTGTTCTTAGATCTCGTGTGGTTTCTTGTCATGGTCCCTATCTGTTGCCAGGAGACGTTGTTTTGATGAGGGGAGAGAGCTATACTTATCTGAGAGCATCAGGACAAATATTTAGAATGTAGTTAGGCACTGTACTGGTTTCATAAAGTGGTAGGTGTCAGGCTCCCCTTGATCCACGAGTCTGGGGTGGTTAACTAGGTTTCCAGTAGCAGACATGGTTTCCTCCTTGTTTTGTGGCCTTAAAACCCAATTTGAGAGCTGTGGCTACTGCTAAAGGACAGATGCCACTAATTTTACCCTCGGGAATATTGTTCCACACTGCTCATCGTAGGGTTAGTCACCATAGCTGGGGAGGGTCACTGCTTGCTCGAATGGAACCATCATGAAGACATTTGTAAGCTGTTTTCTTGGAGAACGGCAACCCAAGATGCCCCAGGGGCAAAGCCCTGACCTGGCTCATAGCTGATGACCGCCGCTGCTATGGAGACAGGCAGTTTTCTGGTGAATTCAATTACTGAACTTCACAGTGAGAGCAAAGAGCGGGAGCTGGCCTCCTGCCAGAGACTTGGAGACAATTCACTCCACAGGGAAAGCACCGGGCTCCTAGGGAGGAACCAATCTGGATTTTAGATGATTAAAACAATTTACCAAGGGTGGAACGGAGCTGAAATTCAAGATGACTCTGAGCAGGGTGGGGAGATGGAAGTTAGTGACACCCTGTCACGGGTTTATCCTGTCAGAACATTTGAATTATGCGGTTTTAAATGCACACATACATACGGGTGCACATCTATTTCCTCACCTAGTAACACAGGATTTCCCCATATCGTGAAGGATTTTCTCTTTTCTTTTTCTTTATTTCTGTTTAGTCATCTGTTTACATATTTATGAAAGGGCCCTTACTGTGTACCCTGGGCTGACTTCAAACTCCCACCCCCTCTGTCCCAGCCTTCCAAGAGCTGGGATTATTGGCATCTGCCTCCGCGCCCGGCAAGTACATGAAGGGAGGACTTACCAAACCTGTATCAACATTTTTTGGTTTTGATTTTTCGATGCAAGAGTTTCTCCTTGTAACCCTGTCTGTCCTGAAACTCCCTCTGTAGACCAGGCTGGCCTTGAACTCACAGTGATCTGCCTATCTCTGCTTCCTGAGCACTTGGATTAAAGGGGTGTACCACTACCACCTGGCAACACTTCTATTTTTATTGCTTTTAATTGTGTGCATGTGTCTGTGGGTGTCTTCAGGCGCCCACGGAGGGATCAGAACTCTGAGGAGCTAGAGTTACAGGCCTGTGTGAGCTGCTGGTGTGGGTGCTGGGTCTGAACCTCAGTCCTCTGTAAGAGCAGGACACACTCTTGACCACTAAGACATTTCCCCAGAACTTTATTATCTCTATTGAGACAGGGTTTCTCTGTGTAGCCCTGGCTGTCCTGGAACTCTCTGTAGACCAGGCTGGCCTCGGACTCAGATTCACCTCTTTCTGCCCCCCGAGTGCTGGGATTAAAGATATGTACCACCACGTCTGACCTCCTTATTTTTATTTGAAAAAAATATTAATTTGGGGCTAGAGAAATACATGATTAGTTCAGGAGCATACAGTACTCTTTCAGTGGTCCTGAGTTTAATTCCCAGCACCTTGATCAGAGATTCCCATCAGCTTACTACACCAATTCCTGGGGTGCGGGGCCTCTGGCCTCCTAGGTACATAACCCTCCTCACTATATATATATATATATACACATATTTTTTGGGTGTTCATGTTTTTGCCTGCATGTATGTCCTTATGAGGATATCAGATCCCCTGGACCTGGAATTACAGACAGCTGTGAGCTGCCATGTGGGCAGTGGAATTTGAACCCGGGTCCTCTGGAAGAGCAGCCTGTGCTCTTAACTGCTGAGCCATCTTCCCAGGCCCACTAAATTTTAAAATAATAAAAACAAGTAAAATCTTTTAAACTAGAAACTTTATCTTTTGGTACACATATGTGGCGTGGGTGTGTGGGTGCGCATGCACCTACATGTGTGTTTGTGTGAGCATGAACGTGGAAGCCAGGGTGTCCGTATCCCTCCGAATTACTCCCCACCTTTATCCTTAGGCTTTGAGACAGGGTCTCACGTAGCTCAGGCTGGCCTTCAGTTCACTACGAACCTGAGGATGACCTTCCAAAGTCCTGGCATTGCAGACTTGTGCCACTGGGTGCCAGGGATTGAACCCAGGTTTTCACACATGCTAGGCAAGCAAGCATTCTACCAATTGAGCTGAAAGGAAAAATAAAAAGGAATAAAAAGGAAGGACATGGCGGCTCCTAGGTATGGTGGAGAAGATTTGTTGTAGATAAAAGGGAGAGATAGCCAGAGGCAGGGACATCTGGCAGAGTCCAGAGTGGACATGACCTGAGCCATGTGAGGGGATGGGGGAGGGGAGAACCAGACCAAGGGGCCAGGAGGGTGAGGGGTGGATGAAAAAGAACAGGTAATAAAAATGGTTGGATTATATAGGGAAGGGCAGCAGGGGGAAGGGTAAGGCCAGTGCTTGGGCTGGAGAAGTTTAGGGTAGGGGGCAGGGTATGCCAGCCATACCCTGTGACAGGTAGGGGTTGAGGGATGCAGGGAGAACCTGGTGGTCAGCATCCATTTCGACAAGTTAATGGACACCCCAGCAAGCCATTTCTTCCAAGTCCAAGACCTAACATGAGCCCCAGCCCCAGCCCTGCGCCAACACTGTAGCTATACGCTGTGTTACGTGAATCTGTCTTAAATGGATGAAGCTACATTTCGTTTCTTCCTATTTTCTCCCTTTCCCCGTAGCGTATGTAGCAACGCAATCAGCATTCCTTATGTCGAAGTGCCTGTGCAGAGAGTGTGCACTTTTTTGAGGGCCTTATCCTGTTGCTAAATTACTAGGACTACTGCCCGGTGGTGGCACACATCTTTAATTCCAGCACTCGGGAGGCAGAGGCAAGGGGATCTCTGTGAAGTTCAAGGCCAGCTTGGTCTACAAGAGCTAGTTCCAGGACAGGCTCCAAACCTTGTCTTTGGAAAAGAAACAAAAAACAAAAAACCCAACAACAGGGCTGGAGAGATGGCTCAGAGGTTAAGAGCACTGGCTTCTGGCTGCTCTTCCAAAGGTCCTAAGTTCAATTCCTGGCAACCACATGGTGGCTCACAACCATCTGTAATGAGGTCTGGTGTCCTCTTCTGGCCTGCAGGAATATAGGCAGACAGAATATTGTGTACATAATAAACAAATATTTAAAAAAAACCAACAACAACAAAAGTGAGTTTATGGCCAGTCAAAGGCTACAAAGAGAAACTGTCTCAAAAGAAAAAAAGAAAAGAAAAAATTCCTAGGACTGCTATGCCACCCTCTGGGGACACAGCATGCGGAAATCCCTGTTTCTGTTTTTGCCTCATGTTCTGGTACCACACAGACAATTATTTTCACATCGGTTTATCTGGGCCAGAAGGATGGCTCAGTGGGTAAAGGTGCTGCCTTCAAAGCCTCGCCGTCTGAGTTCAGGACCCGGAAGAACCAATCCCTACAAACTGACCCTCACAGGGATGCACTGCAAGCCAGGTTGGCTGACAGCCAGACCAATAGCCAAACCAAAGCTTCCCCCACCTGTCTCTAGTGATTTGCTGGATCTGCTGCAGGAGCATTCTTGTAGAGGACTCCAACGTCCAGGCCCACTCCCCTCCCCAGTGCCCACGCTTCCTTGTTTCTGTCCTTTTCCTCTCTTTTCTGTTTTCTCTTTCTCCCTTTTTTTTATTTTTTTATTTATTTATTAAAGATTTCTGTCTCTTCCCCACCACCGCCTCCCCTTTCCCTTCCCCTCCCCCAATCAAGTCCCCCTCCCTCGTCAGCCCAAAGAGCAATCTGGGTTCTCTGCCCTGTGGGAAGTTCAAGGACCACCCACCTCCGTCCAGGTCTAGTAAGGTGAGCATCCTAACTGCCTAGGCTCCCACAAAGCCAATATGTGCGGTAGGATCAAAAACCCATTGCCATTGTTCTTGGGGTCTCAGTAGTCCTCATTGTCCGCCATGTTCAGCGAGACCGGTTTTAACCCAGGCTTTTTCAGACCTAGGTCTCTTTCTCCCTTTAATTTTTTGTTTTAATGATTTTGCTTGGTTTGTGTGTGAGGGGGGAGGTTCTTTTCTGTTTGTTTGTTTGTTTCTTGTGACAGGGTCTCACTGTGTAGGCCTGACTGGCCTGGAACTCGATGTGCAGACCAGGCTGCCCTTGAATTCATAGAGATCTGCTTGCCTCTGCCTCTCAAATGTGGCATTAAGAATGTGTGGCACCAGCCGGGCGATGGAGGCGCGTGCCTTTAATCCCAGCACTCGGGAGGCAGAGGCAGGCGGATCTCTGTGAGTTCGAGACCAGCCTGGTCTACAAGAGCTAGTTCCAGGACAGGCTCCAAAGCTACAGAGAAACCCTGTCTAAAAAAAAAAAAAAAAAAAAAAAGTGTGGCACCAATCCCAGAGAACCTAGAAATGAGGAGGACCTTAAGAGAGACATTCGTGGATCTAATCTACATGGGAAGTAGAAAGACAAGATCTCCTGAGTAAATTGGGAGCATGGGGACCTTGGGGGAGGATAGAAGGGGAGGAGAGAGGCGGGGAGGCGAGCAGAGAAAAATGTAGGGCTCAATAAAAATCAATAAAAAAAAAAAGTGTGTCACCAGGACTGGCTTCCCCTACTGCTTTAACTCTGGTCTTTGCCCGGCAGGCTCTTTTCTTCCTGTGTTCGCCTCCCCCCAGCCCCTTCTCCGTCTCCTTCTCCTTTCAATGTGTTCTCCCTTGGATCCACCCTTCTTTCTTTTCCTTCTTTGCAGCTCCTCCTTCTCCTACCACTTCTGCGAGAGTCACTGTTTCTGCAAGAGACCAGCCAGCCTGGGGAATTGGCAGTGCTAACAGATGACAGAACGGAGAGCCAACCCAGCATGACGTAGGCAGTCTGAGCTTCTAGGAGTCAGCTTGCCTGGAGGCTGTGCCACCCCAGCTTTATCACACCGTGTTGATGACTCATGAGGCACAGGGCAGTAGGGAGCGGACTTTCTCCACCTGTGTGGGTTTAAGATTCCAAACAGGGAGCCCAGCAGCACAGCAGGGTCAACACGCTTCCTGCTGTGGGGCCTCAGGTCACAATGCTGAAGTGAGAGTGTTTTAGGACCCAAACTCACCAGAGGGTCTGAGGTGGGATCAGTCATCTTCATGCTAAGGCTGGGTGTGCCGCCCCATTTTAAACGCTCTGAAGCCCATTTCCGAGATGTTCTTCTTTCAAACCATCTCCAGGAGTCCTCTGTGGGCAGAGAGGTGTTACAGCTCTGTTTGTTTTACCCATAGGGTGCTCTTGTACCTGTGTGTGTGCACGTGCGTGCGTGTGTGTGTGTGTTTGCATGCGTGCACACACCTTAATAAATCTGTTATCAGAAAATGATTAAACAAATGATGTCTCCTATTAAGAATAATATTCATCCATTAAAGGGAATGAGGTATTCATAGAAGCATAGATGATTGATAACCAAGACTCGTAAGAGGAAAGGATGGGGGATTATTGCTTAATCTATCCAGATGGGTGTTTTGTTTTGTTTTGTTTTGTTGAGATCAGAGTTCCCCGTGTAGCCCACATTGGTCTGAAAATCCTGGTCCTCCTGCCTCGGCCTCCTGAGTGCGGTGATTACAGGTGTGTGACCCCAGGCCCAGCTCGGGTGCCGAGCTTCTGTTTGGGGATCGTTGTATGATATTTTGAGGTCATCAGCACACACACACAGACATACACACTCACCACATGGCAAATTAGTGTGCAGACTAACACGAAAGATATTCAAGGTGAAGTGGAAACCGAAACCAAGACTAAGAAGTACCGCGTAAATTATAAAAGTATGTGAGTGTGTTAGTGTGTGATCACAGAAAGGACACATGTCACTTTCTTAGCAGTTATCAACAGATATGGGATTGACTGGGCAGGCAAGGAAGGGGGATATTCTTGGTCTTTTATGGTACCAAAAAAAAAAAAAGTACTGGATTATGGACGATTCTGATTTTTTTTAATGCATTCATTTAGTAGTGTGTATATGTGTGTGTTTTTCTCTGAAAAAGATGGAACACACTATACTCCACCATCCCTGCCCTCTAATATCTCGGGATCAAGTGAGCAATTATAGGGGTAGCATCCTTAGTGCAGAAGCACCTTGTGGGGACAACCCGGAACAGCTAGAGGACGTCAGGTGAGGGTCTTCCTGGAAGAGGAGACATTTTGGCTTCAAATGCCAAAAGATGGTCACCAATTGGAGAGGCAGAGATCTCAGAATGAGACCAGCTCTTCAGATGCCAGCTGGATTCCACGGAATATGGGAAGGTGGTTTCCTTAAACTTCTCTCTGTGGCGTTAGGAGACAGGCAGCTCCCTCTACTTTCTGGTTGGAAAGCCATTGTGGGAACAAGCCAGGGGACCCTTGACGGTTCTCCAAAGGAATTTCCCCTCCAAGTTCCTGAGGGAGCTCAGGTTTCTCTCTGAGGTCAGGGTTTAGCTATTTTTTTTTTTTTGAGTCCTGTGTCCTAGAGGCACGGTCTCCGCAGAGGCCCACAGCCCTGCGTGGCAGTGCCCTCTGCTGGCCGGAACCAGAGCGGCAGGAGCTTGCACACTGGTTAGTGTGTTTGTCCGTCCTTCCCTGGCAGCCTCCGACTCTGAGCTTCCTGGGGTCTCGACTGTGAGTGTCTAGAAAGATGGAAGGACTTTTCTCCTACCACCTTCTCTTTTTTTTGGGGGGGGAGGACCCTATTTTTTTATTGATGTTTTTGAGCTCTACATTTTTCTCTGCTCACATCCCTGCCTCTCCCCTCTCCTACCACCTTCTACCAGTGAGCAAGCAGATGATTCTGAGTCCGGAAACATGTGGTGTGTGCGTATGTGTGTGTGTGCGTGCGTGTATGTGTGTGCATGCGTGCGTGCGTGCGTGCATGCGTGCTCAGGCTGGAACTTAGCACGGAGAGGAGGTCAAGTCAGTTCACTGCTGGCAGGGAATAAGGTCAGGAAGGCCAGTGAGGCCACGATAAGGCTTTGAACGTTAACCAGCAGGTGGTTCTCTAGCTGGACTTTGCTCCTTGCTCTGTAGAGGTGACCTGAGAGCTAACGTAAGAGGATTGCAGCCATGCCAGCTTCTTCCTTCTCTTGTTTGCTGGCTTCAACGCAAAACTTCCCTTACATAGGCTGTGAAATCAGAATCGGAAGAGATTAGAAGAATGGCAGGCACAGTAATGACCCGAAAGGAGTCTGTCCCCTAACCCCTGGGACTTACAGGCCGGCCAAAAGGGAATTAGGCTGCAGAAGGAATTAGAATTCCTAGTCAGCAGGCACGGAGACTGGGGGATCATCTGGGACTGTCCAGGTGTGCTTGGTGTAAGTAGGAAAGAAAGGGAGAGGGGGAAGGGAAGGGAGGCAACAGAGCAGTGGGAGGACGGAAGAGCACAGCGGATTCTAGCGGCTGGGAAGAGGCCACCAAGTGAATCCTCCCCCAACACCAGAATGGTCTGCATCCCGGCTGACATCGTGATTTTAGGCCAGTGAGATCCATTCTTGAACTTAGACCTCCAAGACTGTAATGTAACAAATTGACCCGTGTCCCTCTGAGACATTAGATTTAGGGTAATTTGTGACAGCAGAGATGTAAACTAACAGAGGAAGTCATGGGGGTTATTTTCAGAAAGGAGGAATGGGGTCCTCGCACCTCAAGACTGACTATGAAGGGCAGAATTGTGCAGGAGTCTGGTCCCTGAAGCCCAGGCCCCAAAGGAAGAAGGCTCTAAGGATAGATAGGGATGCTCAAGGTGGAAGTCTGAGAAGGCTCAAAAGAATGACATCTATTCAAAAAAAAAAATAAAAAGCCGGGCGGTGGTGGCTCACGCCTTTAATCCCAGCACTCGGGAGGCAGAGGCAGGCGGATCTCTGTGAGTTCAAGGCCAGCCTGGTCTACAAGAGCTAGTTCTGGGATGGGCACCAAAGCTACAGAGAAACCCTGTCTTGAAAAAAACAAACAAACAAAAACAAAAACAAAACAAAAAAAAAGAATGACATCTATTGGCCAATCTTTGTTCCTGAGTTCCTGGATCCTTTGCTTTGCTTTTTGAGACAGAATTAGGTTGTATAGCTCAGGCTGGCTTTGAACTCCAGATCCTCCTGCCTCTAACTCTCAAGCGCTGGGAGGTGTGTGCCACCACCCCCAGCAAGTTTACAGATCCTATCTTGTTCAAGGTCTCTCATAACCAGCAATGACTCCTGCAAGCAGTTGCCCAGAGAAGGCAAGGGCTCCCCAATCATTTTCTGGACACTGGCTAGGGTCCTAGCTTAGGGACTGGCCCTGGGGGAAGACCAATAGTTCTCCTAAATACACACAACTCACTGAGAAAGGGATTGACCAAGGCAGAGAATGCAGGTAGGCTATCTGGGTCCTGGGCATCCCGGATAAGCTCTCTTTGGCCAGTATTTCACTCAGAGGAGCCCAGAAAAAGCCTGTGGAGTGAAACAATGGAAGTCTAAAATAAATAAATAAGAACAAACAAACACCTGGAACACAGAGAAGCCAGATGTCCAGGCTTTTCCTTCATCACCTGTCCTTGTGGACCTCTTGAGAGGTGGAGTCAGGAGACCAAATAATTCAAGGTCAGCCTTAGAATACAGAGAGTTCCAAGCAAATGGGCTACACAAACCCTGTTTAGATAAATACATAAGAGCTCGGCAGTGGTTGTGCATGCCTTTGATCCCAGCACTTGGGAGATAGAGGCAGGTGGATCTCTGTGAGTTCAAGGCCAGCCTGGTCTACAGAGCAAGTTTCAGGACAGCCAGGACTGTTACACAGAGAAACCGTGTCTCAAAAATAAGAAAGGAAAAAATAAAGAGAGAGGGAGAGAAAGAGAGAGAAAGCGAAATAAAGAGGAAGAAAGAGGAAGAAAGACACACAAATCAATATATACCCGTCACCCTTTTGGTAAGCAGTAAGGAAACAGGACCCTGAACTGCAGAGCAGGGAAGAGGAAAGATCTGCATGTTGCCTCCCAAGTGTTCCCAGAGAAGCACAAAACAGGTGACAGGGTTTTAAAATATCAGAGCCTTTTAGATAGTGATAAACCTGGCAGATGAAGTTCTCCCAGTAGAGGAAGCAAAATGTGGCTGCGAATAGAAATTGGGGTCTCAGCTTCCTCATCGGTAGATTTTAGGGGCCGTGTGGCCAGACCACCATACAGTCCTGCAGCGGTGACAATTCCATGCTTGTGATGATGGAGCTGTGAGGGAGCACTCAGGAGGAGCACTCCTGCTCCACAGCCTCAGAAGCCCAGTGTGACCTGGGATCCTGGCCTGTGAGCCCATTGCATCAGCCACAAGAGGGACTGGTTTTTCCCAGAACTGGGGTGAGGGGGCGGGGTTGGATGGGGGAAGTTGGGAGTGGGGCTGGATAGGAAGGCCTGCCAGCTTCCGGGGTCCACGCTGGTCAGGACTTCATACAGTGCCTAACAGTTCGCTGTCAGTAGGCTCTCTGAGCTGCATAGACTCACATTACAGCCAGCAGTGGGAAGAACCTGGAGCTCCTGATGTGACTGAGGTCTCCAGGGAAGGGTCTCTGTCCCCTTGTCAATAAATAGTCCTTAGACACCTGATGTCTCCATAGCCAGAAGACCTTTTCTTCAGCTTGAAAAATTGCCCCCTTTAGCCTAATTCTTCCGGTTTCTAGACAGGAGGCTGAGGCCTGCAGAGGCTTGTCATGTATGGACCCAGCTGTTCCTTTAAGGAGTTTTTTTTTTTTTTCTGGTGGTGGATAGCATGCATTCCTTGGTCTGGATGCATCCACTCTCCTTTTCCCAGGGATAACAAGTATCTGGAGTTAGGCTGGACAGGGTCTGAGAAGCCACATGGCTGCTTTCTGAACATCCGAGGCTGCTGCCCTGCTGGTGACGTGAGTGACCCGAGTGTGTTACCTTGTGTCTCCCTGATGTACATTGCAAAGTAGACAGGGTGGTGATGCAGGCAGATTGCATATGTCATCATGACTCTCCCCCAGATCTCAACTGCCTAGCGTGCTGTTAGGACACACAGGAGGCTCTGGCTTCTCTAGGGCTCAGAGACACTGTGTGGGTTAAGCCACTGAGGGCAGGAGCAGGGCAGATCACAGATAGAAGGCCTCTGACCTTGGGGGGTGTGTACCCACGTCAATGGAGGTCAAACTCAGGGCCTTGTACTGTGCCGAGATGTCTTCTGCTACTAAGTTGTACCCTCAGGTCTGGACTGCTGGACTCTGGACCTCACCAGTCAGGACTGGAGGGAACTGTCAAGGAAAACATCTAGGAGGTGGGGGTAGATGGCTCAGTAGGAGGATGCATTGCCCAGGAAGATTCTGAGCCTTGATCTTAGCATGGTAGATGGTAGACGGGGAGGGGAGGAGAAAGAGAGAGAGAGATTCCTAGTGGCAGCCTGAGACCCACAGACATTAGGTGACATGTGTGTACATGTAGATACCATTTTTAGCCTGGAAAGGCTGTCCCTCCCTTGGTCTGCAGTCGCCACCTGGGCTGGGTGCCAGCTGAGGTTACTTGGGGTCTGGCAGCCTGGGTACCACTTGCTCGTCTTGCCCTTGCTCCCGATTCACATGGTGTTCCTGGCCAGGCCCTTGACCCCAGTGCCTCTGGTGCCAATTCAGTTAGTCCAGCTTGGAGCACTCAGGGCAAGGTTATCCCAGGAGTCACATGGGCCAGCCTCAGTTTCTCCATGTGGTTGTTGTCTTGGAAAGGAAGACTAGAGAAAGTTGTGTGTGTGTGTGTGTGTGAGAGAGAGAGAGAGAGAGAGAGAGACAGAGAGACAGAGAGACAGAGACAGAGAGACAGACAGAGAGAGAGAGAGAGAGAAAGAGAGAGAGAGAGACAGAGAGAGAGACAGAGAGAAATCTTGGAACCCAGAGTCTCACTGCTGCTAGGCAAGGGTTCTACTCTTTAGCACATGGCTGGGGAACTGAGCTAAAGATTGAGGATCAGGCCAGCTTCCACACTTCCCTCCTTCCTAAGGGTCTCCTGGCGGCCTAGGTCCAGCTGACTCAGATACAGCATCTGTGAGAGCAGGAACACTGTACCGCTGAAGAGACCCTGTTTCCCCTTCCTGCCTCTCTTCCTTCTCTAGACCGCCTGAATCCAGCCTTAGGACTACCACGTGTCTCTGCGTGTGTGTGTGTGTGTGTGTGCACACGCACATGTGTATGGGCGTAGGCATGCGTGCAAAGCCAAAGCCCAACCTTGGGTGCCTTTCTTCAGGAGCCCTCCTGCCCTTTGAGAAAGAGGCTCTCTGGGACCTGGGGATCAGCAACTCAGCTCTCCAGCCCAGCAGCCCCGGGATTCTCCCGTTTTCATCTTCTCGCACTAACACACCCAGTTTTCTATGTGGGTTCTGGCGAGCGAACTCAGGTCCTCATGCCTGTGCTCCCAGCTCAGTCTGTCTTCTGACGTGAGGCGTAGGCTGGTGATGTCTTCTCCAGGGCTTTCTGGCTGTCGTGGAGACCCGGAGGCCATCTTGGTTAGTCATTTGCTGTCTGGGTGTTTCTGCAGCCCCCTCTCCCCCATCCTGTGGCTCCAGTGTGTACAGTCCATTTACTCACCCGATTGCCAGCACACGCCCTCCTCTGCTGCTAATACACACACTCATCCTACTCCTCTGCCTCGAACCCAGAACTGTGTCTGGGAATAGGCCGGCCTCAGGTGGGATTCAAAAATGCACAGAGAGGCAGAATAAATACACCGTGAGGCGCACCAGGCAAGGGAGGCCACACCTGTAATCACCGCACTCCGGAGGCAGAGACAGGTAGGTGGACCTCTGAGTTTGAAGCCAGCCTGGTCTAGAGAGTGAGTTCCAGGACGGCCAAGGCGACACAGAAAAACCCTGTCTCAGAAAACCAAACCAAAATAAGAACAAAACTGAGGCGCTAGGACCAGGCACTCGGGAGGAGCCCCTGCCTGTAGATCTACGGTGCGGAGGCACACAATACAGACTCACCCTTGAGTTTTTTAACTTCAGCGGAAGAGGCCCAGGGATGACCTGGCCACTGGGTCAAAGAGGCAGGAGGCTCCCGGGGCCCTTCTGGCCATTCTCCATACCACGCTGGAGACAGCTCTCCCAGGCCTGACCTCAACAGAACACTCTGTTTGCCGGTCCTCCCTAGTGGCCCTGGGCTTGGGCACTAGGCAGAGGGTAATGCCCTCAGGGACCTGGATGTGGATTCAGAAGGGGTTACACAACCGGTACTGGAAAGTCTTTTTCTTTGGAGATTTCCAAACCGTTCAGTTTGCGGGTGCACGCCAGGGTGTCTTGTAGCACGGCAGCAGTGAGCAGCACCAGGGCCCTAGGGACAATGTCCTGCCTCATGACCTTAGGCTAGACCCATGGTCAGCATCAACACGGGGAGAAATTCTCTCCAGGAAGTGTAAAAACACATGAATATAGGGATGGAATGAATCACTAAAACATTTATTTTTTTTTTTTTTCCTAGATAAGGTTTCTCTGTAGCTTTGGTGCCTGTCCTGGAACTAGCCCTTGTAGACCAGGCTGGTCTCAAACTCACAGAGGTCCACCTGCCTCTGCCTCCTGAGTGCTGGGATTAAAGGCATGCACCACCACCACCCGGCAATAAAACATTTACTTAGAAGAGCACTTTTACTCTCACAGAGGACTTGGGTTCGAGTCCCAGCACCCATACAATGGCTCACAACTGTCTGTAATTCCAATTCTAGAGGTCAAATGCCCTCTTCTGACCTCTGCAGGCACCAGGCACACCTGTGGTGGGCCAGGCATACAAACAGGCAAAGCACTCATACATATAAAATAAAATGTTTAGAAGTCAACCAACCAAAGACCTCATTTGCTTAATTCTGTCTATTTACTTATTATTTTTGTGGCTATGTGATCAAATGCACAGCCCCTGCCTGTTATGGATTCTACCACTGAGCTACATCTCCTAACCCTGGATTAATTTTGATTTTAGTTTTGGTTTTTCCAAGGCAACATTTTCCTTCGTAGCCTAGGTTGGCCTGGAACTCCTTATGTAACCCAGGCTGGCCTCAAACTGGTGGTGAGCCTACTGCCCCAGCCTCCTGAGTGTTGGCATTATTGGGTCAAATCATCACAGATGGAAAATCCTTTAACTTAACATTCATTTTGAAAAACTGCTCTTTCCCAATTCAGTTTAGTCAACAGCTTGATGCCAAGTCTCTAACTACTGACTGATCTGGGCTGTACTGGGCTAATGTGTCCTACAAAGCAGTTCTGCCACCGACAAGGGCTTGGTGGAAAATTACCGTAGAGAGGACTGACTATTAGGGTTACGCATGGCGACACCCACTACGACTGGGCTTCTGGGGCTGGTTTCAGAGCTCTTTGTCTTGCAACAAGCCGTCCCATTTCAGGATTTTGTTCCTGTTCTTTTCACAGCCAGTTTACCTGGACTGAAGAAGTGAGCTCTGCGCATTAGGAGGGGAGCAAGCGGCAAAGAGGCAGCTTGACTTCAGGTAACCTAAAAGAGCTATTGATTGCCTGCCCTCGAGTGTTCCGGCTGCCAAGGGGACAAAGCTTCCCTTTAGCTGGCTGGGCCAGCAGCTGAAGGAAGAGCTGGCCTCTCACTGAGGCGATCATGCAGACCCGAAATGACAAGCAGAAGGCTAGATGGATCACCTGATGTAGACACTGGGGACCAAACTCTGGGATTGGCTTAAACCAGGCCGTGTTGCTCCAATGGCTGGGTTTTGGCATCCTGACAATCTGCTGACTGCTCAAAAGCCTGGAAACAGTGCCAGGGCAGTCTGTTGCACTCCTTGGGAAAGAAAGCAGCCATGCAAGTACTAACCAAACGCTACCCCAAGAACTGCCTGCTGACGGTCATGGACCGGTACTCGGCGGCGGTGCGGAACATGGAGCAGGTGGTGATGATCCCCAGCCTCCTGAGGGATGTGCAGCTGAGCGGGCACCGGGGTTCCGTCCGGGAGGGAGCTCCGGATCTCTACACCTACTTCACCATGCTCAAGACCATCTGCGTGGAAGTGGAGCACGGGCTGCTCCCGAGGGAGGAGTGGCAGGCCAAGGTGGCCAGTGGCGAGCCCAGCGACCCTGAGAATGAGGCCTCCGAGGCAGAGGAGGCTGACGAGGAGAGGCTTGCAGGGGAGCTGGACCTAGAAGCTCAGTTCTATCGGCACTTCTCCAGCCTCCATCACATCCTTACCCACCTCACCCGGAAAGCCCAGGAGGTGACAAGGAAGTACCAGGAAATGACGGGACAGGTCCTGTAGGCCTCCAGCTCTAAGGAAGGTAATGGTGGCCATGCCAGCAGGTTATAATCCATGCAGGGACACGAGGGAGGAGATGAACAGTGGTATAACTCAGTAGAAGGGGGTTAGGTGAGCGCTCACGTCAAGGGTATTGGGGTTATCAAGTGGGGGGACCCAGAACTGGCCTCCTTAGCATTGTCCCCCAGTATTGATAAGCAATGACTGTGAATTCCTACAGAGAACAGCCTATGTACATCTATGTAGGAAGTAGTCTATGAACACATCCCTCCTGAGTACATGGGCATGTGTGTGTGTGTGTGTACATGTACCTATGCACACATCCCTCCTGAGTACATGGGCATCTGTGTGTGTGTGTGTTCACTGTGAATTTGTTAGTAAACACATGTAGATTAGCACTTGAACAAATCTATTCTCAAGGTTACCCCCACCCCAGAAAGGGTTTCTCTGTGTAGTCCTGGCTGTCCTGGAACTTGCTTTGTAGACCTCGAACTCACAGAGATCTGTCTGCCTCTGTCTCGTGAGTGCTGGAACTAAAGCTGTGTACCACCACGCCCAGCTTTCAAGGTCAACTTTTTAAAAAGCTTTTAAATTATTTATTGTCTTTTAGAGTGTGTGTGTGTGTGTGTGTGTGTGTGCGCGTGCGCGCGTGCACGACATGACATACGTGGGAAGGTCTGAGGACAAATTGTGGGGGTCAGTTCTCTCCTTCCACCATGTGGGTCCGAGGGATTGAACTGTCATCATCAGACTTGGTGGCAGGCACCTTCATCTGTTGGGCCATCTGGCTGGCCCTTTCATAAAGTTACTATTATTCCTGTGTGTGTACATGATGTGTGCTGTGAGCAAGTGTGCTCTAGTGTGTGTGGGAGTCAGAGGAGTCTTGTGGTTGAGTAAGTACTCCTTCCACCTTTCCCAAAGCCACAACCACTTCTCCTCCTTCTCCCCCCCCCCCCCTTGAGAGAGGGTCTCTATGAAGCCCTGGTTGTCCTGGAATTTGCTATGTAGACCAGGCTGGTCTGGAAACTCAGATTCTCTCCTGCCTCAGAGTGTACCAGCACCAGGATTAAAGTCATACCACACCATGCTCAACTTCAAAGTCAGCTTCTTTAAAAATCTGATTATGGGGACTAGAGGGATGGCTCAATGGTTAAGAGCACTGATTGTTCTTCCAGAGGACCTGGGTTCGATTCACAAATGGCAGCTAACAACTGTCTGCAACACTGTTTCCTGGGAACCCAAGGCAAAACACCAACACCAATGTACATAAAATAAAAATAAATAAATTTTAAAAAGGAGAGAGGAAGGGTCTGGAATAAGCATTAAAGTAAACTTTTTAAATATAAGTAAATAAAAGTCTGATTATAGGTATTGACTGTCCCCAGAGTTGGGACACATCCTACACATATAATCCCAGGGCATATACCACCCACTAAGGCCATCCACAAATCCTAAGACCTCTCCTGCCATGAATTACTATCTCTTTTTTTGGGGGGTGGGGGGTCGTTTCGAGACAGGGTTTCTCTGTAGCTTTGATGCCGGTCCCAGCTCTTGTAGACCAGGCTGGCCTCAAACTCCCAGAGATCCGCCTGCCTCTGCCTCCTGAGTGCTGGGATTAAAGGTGTGCGCCACCACCGCCCGGCTGAATTAGTATTCAGGACAGCCATGGTGACACAGAGAAACCATGTCTAGAAAACTAAAAACAAAAGCCGAAACACCCCAAACAAGCAAACAAAACCCCAAACATCACCCTGCAAGCAAACAAACAAAAAGCAAGTCTGGCCCAATTTTGAGCTGAGGGTTCTTCCCAGAACCATTCTCTGTCACCCTGGAAAGCTAGGGACCTCAGGGACCAGATAGAAACTCTGCTCTGGGCACTTTCTCACCTCAAACATGACCTGTTTCCTCAGGCCTCTCTCCCTGTCCCCTTGAGTCTTCCTGGGCTACCTTCCAAAGGAGCTCTTTGAACACAACTAGGCTGGAGCTTGGGGGGGGGGGGTTGGGCTGAGCCTCAATTCCTGCTCTCCGAACAACACTGAAGGTGCCGTGGGGCATTACGGCAATAGTTTGTTTTTCCTCTGCACGTCAGCAGTAGTAAAGCAATGACTGGCATTTGAATAGTGTTTAAATCCCCTGCATATTAATTATTCAATGAACTATCATTACTTAAAAATTTTGCTACTATCGCATGGTTGGGGATTTAGCTCAGTCATTCAACACTTTGTCCAGCAAGCCGAAGACCCCGGGGTTTGCTCCTCAGCCTCAGCCAGCCTCCTGGTGGGTGGGGGGATGTTTTATTATTGTGTGTGTGTGTGTGTGTGTGAGAGAGAGAGAGAGAGAGAGAGAGAGAGAGAGAGAGAGAGAGAGAGAGCACGCGCACAAGCATAGGCAGGCTTCTGTGCCGGGGAACAACTTTTGGACGTTGGCCTGTCCTTCCACCAAGGGTTCCAGAGTTCAAGGTCAGGCCATCCAGAATTGCTGCCAGTGTTCTTAGCTGCTAAGCCATCTTGCTGGTCCATATATTTTTAGTACCTCTTATAGAAAGAAACTGGAGATCTGTTAGGCACGGTGGTGCATGCCTATAATTCTAGCATTTGGGAGGTAGAGGCAGGAGGACCAGAAGTTCAAGGCCACCCTAGGCTACACAGCAAGCTTGAGGTCAGCCTGTGCTACACAAGTCCCTGTCTCAAAAACCAAACCAAACCAGCTAAACAAACAAACAAAAGCGCTGGAGGACTGAGAATTCGGTTTTCTGTTCTTTAGAGCAATAAAGCCTGCAGCCTATGGTGGAAATGGGAATTGGGAGCAATGGAAGGGGTAGAAACCACATTC